AATAAATAATATATTTAAAAAATTATGATTGCTTCTTTTAATAAATGGAAGAAGATAGATGATTTACCTCCATTTGTTGATGAAATTGTATTTATTGCCAATCAAAATGCACAACATGTTAATTAACTTGAATATATTGATTAAAGTTTGTTTATATTTGTTGATCTCACACCATTTGGAATCAAGGAATTATAGGTAGAAATCATACAAAAATCATGTCTAATTAAATAGTTTGCCACAGAAATATGCCAAAAATATTTATAATCGATAAGTATCAATGATGTGTAAATTACCATTAATAGCCTGTTAGTTGACTACGATAAAAAATTTATACATTATGATTTTAAAAGCAATTAAGTCTTTAAATTCCAAAAATTTTGTTCCCCTGATCTCTATAAACAATTTGTTTTAACCATTAACATATTTGATGGCATCAATTAAAGATCATGTAGTTTTGTAGCCCAAGGTTCAATGGAGCTTTCTAAGGTGGAGGAAATAATATATTAGTATATATAACTTAATAAGGATATTTGTGCTTTAGATATATATTTTCATGGGGTGCCGTTAAGAGACACAAAAAAAAACCTATTTGAATATAACATAAAAGCTAATGACGAATTGTTAATAAGATTACATTATAGAGGGGGTTGTTTTCCTGGAGATGCTCCTATTAAACTTTTTAATGGTACAATCAAAAGAATAAAAGAAATTGAATGGGGTGATATTGTTAAATGTTATGATTTTGAATAATAATAATTCAAATAATCCATTGTAGTAAGTAAGCATATATCAGAAGAAAAATAATAATTAATAGAGATTATTACTCAGAATGGTAGAATTGTTTGTACTCCAAACCATCTAGTTTACACATTAAACGGATGGAAAGCATAAAAACCACATCGAAATTCAAATATTGAAAAGTTAAGTGTTGATGATCTTCTATTTGATTCAAATGGAGATTATGTTAAAATAGTTTAAATCAATGAAATGAAACAAAAAGAAATTGTTTATAATATTACAACTGAATATCCAAATAACTTTGTTGCTTTCGATATTTTAGTACACAATATGACAATAATTATGGTACAATTATTATAAGATAACAAAATGTTTAATCTAGAAGTGGAAGCACACACTTTGATATCGGAGTTATTACATGGATTTGAAGAATGGTTAGGAATACCTGTTTCAAGATTATAGTTATTTTATAAAGGAATATAAATGGAAGATGATTATGAATTGGAAGATTATTGTGTAATAAAGGGTAGTATATTGGATCTTAAAGTAATAGAGTAATCTGAAACAGACCAATAAGAAGTTGATTAAAATACTATGAAAACAAATTTAATAAAAAAGGCAGATTAAATCATAAATGAAAAAACTATTTCAATATTAACAAAGTAACAGCATACTCAAATAACAATTAGAAAGAATGATCAAAGAAATATAAGATAATTATTAGAAAAAGTCGAATCTAAAGAAGAAATCGAAAGATCGTTGATATTGTGCGATGGTAAAGTTATAAGTTCTTCAAATTTAAATTATGATAAAACTGATCTATAAAAAATTGAAAGTATTATATTGATTGATCAATAATCTGGCGGAATTGCAATAAAATTTACTTTAGAGATACATGATTAATAGCTTTAAAATATGTCTGATCTTTAAGATTCTTTGTAATGGTTGGGTAATCCTGATATTAATGAATTTATTTAATAAAATTTGGAAGAAATAAATGGAAATTAGGAATAAAAATAAGATTATTAATAAATCCCTCTTCATGGTATAATAGCAGTCAGATTATATACAAGCAATTTAATTTATCAAAAGTTGAATAGTGATCTAAGAATATCAGATTACCAAAGATGGAAGAAATATTTAAAATGTTTAATGGAAGGACTTCGACATATGAGATATTACAATGGAGTTGCATATCGAGGAGTCAGGAATTATTAAAATACTTTAGATTATCAAAAGGGGAATATTGTATAATGGTCTGAAGTTAGTAGTGTTTCATAAAAAAAGTAAGTTGCGTAACATTTTAGTAATCAAAAAGGAATGATTTTCTAAGTTGAACTCATAAGCGCCAAGGATATAGCCAAACTTTCAATTTATAAAGGAGAATAAGACGTAATTATGTATCCCTTTTCATCATTTGTTATTGAAGAAGTTTAATTAAATCCCAATTAACCTCTGCTTGTAACTATGAGAGAACTACCTTTACCTAGATCACATTAAGTATTATTATGGGTGGATGACAATCCTGAAAATAATTATTCATATGCAGAAGATTTAGAAAGATAAAATTAAAAGATTTCTGTCATATTCTGTACTTCGACTAAAGATGCGATTCTTATTATTTAAAAATATAAATGGATGATATACCTATAATCATCTTAGTTTAGAGTAGTTAGTGATATGGTAAGAATAGAAGAAGGTAAGATGAATTATAATGCTGGTATAGATTTAATACATTATTTATATTAATAAATGAAATATAAGAATCGTACTCTGATTTTTTGTGGAGATTAAAAAAGAGCTTTGAAAGAATGTTAAGATAGAAAAATTAATGAAAATAAACATTTTGAAATTACAAACAATCAATAAGTTTTGAGGAATTTCCTTAAATTTGAATGATAAATAAATAAAAAATATTAAAATATAAAACATAATTTTACTAACATCAAGTGTATTATAAATATAAAAATCAATTTAAATTTAAAGTAATTATGTTATTAATTATGCATGATGAAAAATGGAAAAAAGAATGATATAAGTTTTTTAATTTATGAAAAATCAATATCCTTATTTTTTTAATTTATCTAATTTAAACAACTCCTAAATAGCAAAAATGAAAGGTTCAAATTCGAATCATTATTTTAAGTGTATATATTTTCACTCAAGAATGCTTTAAACTCAAATAACTAGTGAATTCTATGAATTATTTTTTTTTTTGATATTATACATTAATAATTTGTATTCCCTTTTTTTGTTTATTCTATCTTTTAAGTAATTAATTTATTTGCACTAACAATTCTAAAGTTGATGTGGTAAAAATATTGCTTGTAGCTTTGATTAGATTTTCAGCAATAAATGCTGAATACTTGCTTGAAATTGCCACTAAAAAATAATTCTTTGAAATCTAATATAGCTTGTAAAAGGGACAACATAAGGGGAAATTTCGAGCCAATCATTTACAAAAGCTAACCTTTTATTTGATGAAACAACAAATTAAGATATTAAACGAGAAACATAAATATGTCTAATAATTAAAGGAACAACTGAAAACATAAAAAGGAAAAAAGGGCAAAAGAGTTTCTAAAAAGAAATTGTAATGCTGCTTGCAGAAGTGAAGGAATATAAATAAAATTGTTTAAAAAATTAATGAAATAAAATGATAAAGGTGATCGAAGATTTTATAATGATTTATAAATCAAATCATTAATGTTCCTCATTATTTTCGGTTTCGGTTTGACACTCATCTAACTTTGGTTTTATGCTGTTATTTTCTAACCAAGTCATTATTTTTGCTATATTTTTTGATTCATATCCAGTATTAATACTTAATAAGAAAATGGAGTAGCAATATTGATGAATATGACGTTTTAAATTAATTAAATGCAAATAGAATATGTTAGTAAAATAAACTAATTGATTCCTCCTTTAATAGAGTACTTAGAGTATAAACATATGTTTTAGTGATTGAAAGAATTTTAATTAGGAAGAGAATATTGATATAACCACAAGATTTATTAAATATATAGTAATTAATTAATAAGATGCATAGTTTATGAAAAGTTTGGTTGAATTATAATAGTAAGTGTATCAAGTAAATCTGGAATAGTGGTTGATCAATTCTAGAAATCTATATGATAATAATCAATTTTTGGTTTATCATTATATGATTTTTTTTGTTTTAATCTTTATAAAATTTGAAATTTTATATCAATTAAATAATAAATTTTATTTAAACGATTAGTTAGCCAATTTCTATCAGATATTTCTAAGTGTTATACTTATACATTTTCTATCACATAAGTCATTTATAACTTTATTATTATTAGATAATCAAAAAACATCTCCTACTTCAATATTATAAGAGTTTCTATGATATTGTTCAAATGTAATGTTGTCATCTATCTATTTCAAAATTACCAATTTTTTTATTTCTTTTCTTATAACTCTGTTCGATTTCATTCAAATAACTCCAAAAGTGCTCTATCTCACTCAAAATTTAATATCAATGGAAAAACTTTAACAAAGACAATGATTTAATAATTTCTTTTGTTTCTAAAAATCTTATATTTCTATCCTTTAATGATTAAGAAATATGCCACAAATTTAAATATTTATTATTGAATTAAAAACATTGTTATGAATAAATTTAATGTTAATTTTGAATAGTAATTTTTATGAAGTTATTTTGTAGGATGGCAGTAAAAGATCAATTGATGATGTTGAAAGACATATTAGATAATTGTATTTATAAAATGGATGAATACATTCAATCTTTTTATTCTCATCACTTAAAGGATATAAAATATTTACTCATCATAAATATAAGTAGCTCAATTAAAAATTTATTCTGACACACTCTGATTCTAAAGTAACACTGCATAAGATAAATAATTTGAAATAGAACAAGTAAATAAAAAAAGATTTCATTGATCAAAAGAAAGTTTCCTAAATAGTTATTTTCTGTTTTTATTATATTGTGTGGAATTAAAGATTAAGTTTGTGTGTTTTTTTTTTCAAAATACAGATAAGATATTATAAGCTTCACTTCCTTGTTTTTTTTTTAAATTCACTCTTAATTTACAAAGTTTAAGTTATTCTAAAGATTGTTTCAAATTATATTGAAGATTCTAAATGTCTTTTATAATTATAATCAATGTTATTTAAAATTAAACCAATTATTTCTTAGTTTAATTATTAATTTATTATTGCTATTCAATTTATTCTATCATTTCTTCTAAATTAATTATAATTTATTGATATTTTAAAATTCTACATTAATCTGTATTCAATAAGAGGTGAGTTTTGTTCAAGTAACCTAAATCTATATTACATCTTTTTGAAAGCCAAAATAAAGTCATTTTAAGTCCATTTCTTTCAATTTTTCCACCAACATTCATCATCATAAATTAAAACCAAAAAAAATATATGTAGTTAAATAATAAATTGCATAAATATCTGTTAAAAATTGAATTACATCCTAATCTTGAAGAATAATCTCTTATGAATTTTACGGAAACTAAATATTTCCATTTTTTTTTCATGTTTATATCTCTATGAATCATTCTAATTATATTATTCTAAAATAAATAAAATCTTTTTTTATTGATATATTTATATACTTTTTATATGATTTCTATTTCTCTTTCAAATTTTATTCAATCTCTATTTGTATTTTTTACACTCTAAATCAATTATAATTGATATAATTAACTAATTTTATTAATTTAGATAAATTTCGCTTATTGACATTTGATGATTAAGATATAAGATTCTTTAAACTTTCATTTTATTTTCGATTTGCTAGAGTATATTTATCTTTTGTCTGTTTTTTTGCATTAATCATTTTATAACAAAAAAGAAGAGAGTATATAAATATCATTTACATTAAAGATCCGCTCACCTAATTTTTTTTCTATTTATGAAGAGTAAATTAATTATATAATCTTAACAAATTTTAAAATCTCAATTAATTATATTTTCGAAGATGCAATTATTAGAAATTGTTTGATTGAATCCTAAGACATTTGTAAAAATTGAATAACAACATTTAATTTTTGCAAGAGAAAATATCTTTTCATTTTTATTCTATCTTTACAGTTATTTTTGAGTGATTCCTATGAAATAAACATAATTTAGTAGTCAAACACAATTTATGTTACAGGTAAAAATACAGTTTTCTATTAGTTTTAGGATAATATTATTTCAAATATTGTCTAATGCAGGTTATATCATATAAAACAAATTTAAAATAGTAATTAAATATTTAATAGAAAATAATAAACTAATAATTGATCTAATAGATGCAAAACTAAACTTATTGATGGATATCTAATTTGTATAGGCATACTATTAATAAAATAATATAATTAAGTAGAAGAAGCCTTTGGTGTTTGATCTGAATTTTTATCTAAAATCATTACTAAAAAGGAGAAAATATTTTACTCTTTAGACCGTACGTTTTCTTTTTACAATTAAAAATCTCGATTATTACTTTAAGAAAAAAGATAAGATTATAATTTGGATGATTTGATCATCTCTATTGATAATGTGCTATGTGTTGAGATTGTATTATAATTGTAATTTAGATTCAACTCTTTGCTTGTTCCTAATTATATCCTAATTAAATTGAAGAAACTAAAAATTATACAAACTTTCTCGCATTCTATGTGATCGTACTTAAAGCCTATTTTACTTAAATTTCAATTAGAAAAAATGATGACTACTGCAATAATTTATAAGTACATTAAATATTCATTAAATAATTACTTCTACATTTATTATACAACCAAATATTAGTTAAATTATTTCAAATAATGAGATTTCAGAAATGGTTGAACATTTATCCTCACAATATAATCTCAAATATTAACAATTGTAATTTGCTTTCCATTTAAGTTTATTTCTTTATCATAATAATATTTTATTTAAATATCTAGATAACTAATTCTTTATCTTCATGATTTGGTCATTAATTTAATCTATAACCCTTTTTAATTGATATATCACAAATTATTTTCTAATTAATTTTTTTTTTATTTAATCTAATAATTTATTTTTTATATTAGTAATAAGTAAAGTTATTCAATTATATTATCTTTAAATTACCATATTAGTTGGGTTGGGCTAAACATTCATGATATTATAATCTCTGAGACTTTTTCATAAATTAAAAAAAAATAATGTATAATAATTATCAAACTTATTCTTAAAATTGATTCAATAAATTTAAAGCTAAGAATTAAAAAATATGATGATAAATATAATTAAAACTATTTTTTTATATAATTTAATATTTCTTAATTCTAATTTATATAATGTATTCAATATACTTTAGATAATTGCTGATACCATAAGTTATTTTTGAAATAAAAGAAGCATAATTACAAAATCAATAAATCCCTTTTTTTTAATATAATTCTTAAAGTGGAATGTACAATATATAAGTGTATCTTGGAGTATTCCAAATTCTTAAAAAAAAAATAATATAATTTTTTTAAATTAAAATATAAATGATAAATGGATGTACAAAATTCCCAAATAATACTATTGAATGATTGAAATTGAACCATATTAGATTTTTGATAGCATCTTAATGATGGCGAAAAGTGAATATAAATTTTCTCCATCTTCTGACCTTGTGAGAATTCGAGAGCCTTATCAATTTGGCTTAATAAAAAAATCTGAATATACTTTAAGTAAAGAAAAGGAAATTATTTAATAAAAATAATACAAAAGCAGTGGAAATATTGATTCTACTCATTGGAGTATTTTAAGCAAAGAAGAAAATAAGTATTATATAGAATATAATTCTGAAATACCAGAAGCTACACCATAAATCGATACTTCTTATAATTAAATCTGAAAGTGAAAGTGGATTCGACTTGTTATGATGTAGTATTATTATTAAAAGTTCATATAATTGAATGTAGTAATGCTGAAAGGGATTATTTTGCTATTTTAAAAGAAGAATCAGTTTCAACAATGGGAATTAAAAATGTTACTAATAAACAAAGAAAAATTGATTAATTAGATGATATTCTTATGACTAATTATTTGGAAGTTTATTAATTACAATAAGATAATCAATTGTAGTTCTAAGGAAATTTAACTACAGAAATATTAAGGATATTAACTAAGGATAACACATTTAATCTAGAAATAGTAGATTTTAAATTTCACATAAATACTTAAATTACCATTTTGAACCAATAAGGACAATTTTTAAGTTTAAGGTATAATATTTAATCTAAGGAATGGATGTTAGATTAATATATACTCACTGAAATTGATAAACATTACGCATATGATTATGTATTTGATACAAATAATAACCTTACTCATAAATAAGCTATTATTTCAGATACAATTCTATATTATAAGTTTATTAGTGATGGAGATAAAAGTTGGACAATAAGAGATTTAAAGAATGATATCAATTCTAAGGTTTATATATCGTTTAGCTATATTTTGTTGTAGAATCAAAAATCGCTTTCACTTTATGAATATTATTCAAATCAAATTGGATAACTGGTATAGTCAATCAATCTTGAAGCATAAACTTTTGTACATTAATATCCAAATTTTGCAAGCTTCTTATTATTTATTAAGCCATATTTTTATGCTTATAATTATGATCCAAAAGGACTCACATTCTAATTTTAATCAAAGGAATTAATTAATGAACATGTGCATTTTACATTAGAAAAAAACAAGTGATTTTTAACTAACTTGCAAAGCAAATATCTATTTTAAAGTTATGGATAAATCTTCAACCGAAATTTACTACACTTTTCTAGCACCACAATTTACTTGCATCATGGATAATTATCCTCATTATAATTATTGTGACTACAAATAACAATATTAAGGCTACAATATTTGACTAGCTCATTGGATTTATGTAGTATGGAAGATCCTAAACAAGTTATTTATAGAAAAATCCTCTATTACAAAGCTTACTCTATAGATATGTTTGTCATAGAATAAATTTAAAATTTGTAGTTGAAAGCATATATATTCTCTTCATAAATGAGTCAATTACAATTTTAAATAGATAATTTTATTGAATTAATTGATTCTACTTATCAAAGTTGGTATAACAATCAAAACGGGAATATTGTTTTTGCATTACAATTAAAAAGATTTATGTTAATTTATAATAAGTTTGGCTACTTTAAGAGAAGGAACTGTTATGTTATTCATTAGATTTTTTATAAAATGAGGCAATATTAATATTTTAAAGACCAGCAGACAATGTTTTTATTTAATCTTGGGTTTAATTTGCTAATGTCTTATACAATTTCATGACTGAATAAACAATCGATATATATTATAATGGTATTGTAATTAATATGGTTGGTGGTACTGAACATTTTTTAAAATAAAAAAAATAGAATGATTAATATTTTGGATATAGGTATGAGAGCTTCTATTATATTTATTAAATTAAAAAATGAAATAGATCTAAGCAAATATAAGGAAATAACAATAGTTAATCAAGAAAGATGTATAAGCTTTTCTGATCCCAAAGAATATATTTAATTGAAAGCATAAAGAGATGGAACTCATGTTATTTTGTTTTATCGTTTTGGATAAAACTCAATCAATTTCTAATATTTTGAACTTAAAATACCTGAAAATATTTAAATTTCAACTTGTTATGAAACTCTATTATTAACTGATAAATAAAATCAATTCACGAAACGGTGAATGATAAATTGAAATAGATCTAATATTAACTGACTTTAAATTTTTCTGGTAGAATATTTAACTAATTTAATAGTTATTAGCTATAAGCAATCCCTGTAAATTTAATAAATAGAGGAATTGATTTATTTGGTAGAATTAATTAATTAAATTTCACATATTAAAAAGATGGATTAACTATTCATTGTTTTGATTTAGGGTAATCTTGGTATAGTGGATAAGCATTTTAAATAGATTTAAAAAATCCTATAGAAGATTTATAATACATGAAAACATTAATTAAATAAACAGAAACAATTCAATTTAGCTAATCCATAATGGAATATGCTAGTAATAATTTAGTTTAACTAATGGAGAATAAAATTGTTTTAGTGTCTAAAGCCAATTTGAAAACCACTGAATTTCCATTAGATAATTAGTATAAATTTACTATTATTCTATATATTTATGATGACCTAATTTATGTTAAAGCTTAAAAAGATAATTAAGATAATATTTTCTTTGTGACTAAGTGCAAAGATTATAATTGCTAACTTTAAAGTGGTTGCAATCAATTAAATAACAGAGGAAAAATTTTGTATTTAAATAAACTCCATTTTTTTTATGGAAGATAGTCAGTAAGATTTGATTAGCATTTATAATACAAACGGAGATCCATCAAACATATTGGAATTTAAGTATATTGATAGTTTGAATGTCTAATATTTTTCAATCTCTCATGATGTTTCTTAAATACTTATTTGATTGCATGAATTAATTCATTTGTTAATTAAATTTTATAAATTTGGATGGGTAAGATAAATTAAAAATAAAGAAGTTCTAATATTTTGAAATCAAAAAATGTAGAACCTGTTTTTAACACTCCTCATTTTTAATGTCATAACATGCTTATTAAAAAAAATATGAGATAATTGTGTCTGGAATAGTTTAACCTACAGTAATATTTCAATTATAAAAATAATGGGATTAAAAATTCCTGTTTGATATCAATCATATTGAAATCTTTAATGTAAATGTATGGTCTTCATGCAGCATTGAAAGATAATTTTAATAAGAATATTTATTCTATGTATTATCTCAAAGAATTTGGCTTACTGTTTTATGATACGATAGATGATTTTACTAATCTTTAGCCAAATTTAGCAATTATTTACTTCCCAATCGAATCTAAACTTCAATTGTATACAACTATAATGAACAATTGAACTTATTAATAGCTTTAGGTATCAGTAAACCATTATAACATTATATATTAAGAAGATCTTCAAAAATATGTACGACAAAACCTATTAATTCAGATGTGTAATTTATTTTGAAAAACTCTTATAATTCAGAAATTGTTTAAATTAAATTGAATATCAATTAAATTCCAGATCCTACTATACAACAGGATTTCCAAAATGGTTATTATGGAGTATTGTAGGTGTAATTATTTTAGGAATAAGTATTGGTATCACTATCTGGTGTTGTAACAGAAAGATAAATAAAACGAAACATGAAAAGTTGATTCCTTTATGAATTATAAATCATCAAATTATTAAGATATTTTTTTGTAGATTTAATCGAACAGAAGAATACTGAAAAACTTAATAGAAATTAAATATTTAATTTGGATAATTTAAAAAAAAAATTGATAATATTTCAATTTTATTACATATAATTTTTAATTTATTATGTGCAATCTAAAATATTGAGTTCCATTTCTGTACTCATTTGAGAGATTTTATATTTTTGATATATTTTTAGTCCCTGTAAAATAATAAATAATTGATCGAAGCTCTTAAACATGTTATCAAGAATAAAATTCCCTATCATATTTAATAGAAAAATTAGGTTTCATCTAGATCTAGGACAATTTACCAAGAAAAATTATCGCCACAGAAAACATCGAGATGTAAGGCTTTCGTTAATATTAGATTTATAACTATACAATATAGGTGTAAGGTTTAATGTATTTGATAAATTTTATAAAGTTAGATCAGTCATAATTAAAATTCTTTTATTTTAATTTGAAAGAGCTTGATGGTGTTCTTAAAGAATGATAAAATAAAGAAATATTGCTATTTAGAATAAAAATATTTGATAAATAATTTAATTTTGAGTTATTAATATATAAGGAGATTTGAATTGATAATATGTTGAATATAAATAAAAATAAAAAAAGAGATGAGTAAGTAATATAGAAGTGAAATAGAAAAATGTCTTTTAGAAATAAGATAAGATATAGACTTAGAAATGAATTCAAAATAATTCAATTAAATAACATAATTAGTGTTATGCAATAGCTATCAATAAAAATAATTAAATTGTGATAGCAGGATGTGATTCTGATATAAAAGTATTTGAGATGTTTTGAAATAAACTAAACTTCTAAAAGAACATAAAAATTATGTGAATACTTTAAACTTTATGAAATAATCTAATGCATTTATATCAGGTAGTTGTGATAGTTAAATTATAATATGGTCTATGAATCCAAGTAATTAATGGGTTTACTCATAAAAATTAAATGGACATAGTAACACTATTAATTGTTTAATATTAAATAATAATGAAAATTTGATAATTTCAGGTAGTGATGATATTAGTATTAAATTTTGGATGAAATAGAATAAATGGACATGTTAATAAACTATTACAGATCATACATATTGGGTATTAGGATTAAGTATGAATTAACAATAGAATAAAGTTATTTCATGTGGATAAGATGATTAAATATTAATAATAGAATAGTCATTATAAGATTCTAAATGGATTATTATTTAAAAGATAAAAGTTGAGAGATATGGTAGGAGAATATGCTTTTTAAATGATAATCTATTTACATTCTAACCATATAATAGAGAATAAATGCATGTTTATGAAATGAATAATACTAATAAATAGTATTCAAAGATAAAAGATGTTGTTGTTAAGAATGGTGATGATAAGTATTTCTTTCCTTAATAGTATATAAAATCAAAATGTCTGCTTGTAAATAAGCATGCCAATTATGTGAATTTGATAAGGACAAACCAAAATGGCGAGTTTAAAGTAGAATAATCAATTGAATTTAAAACATAATATTTATATGGATCTATGAGTGACGATTGATTGTTTTTAATTACGTGGGATAACAATTCAAAAGAAATTCAGATTAGAAAATACCATGAATAATGAGTATTATTTTTAATATTAAACTTAAGTATTATATAATTTATATGTTTTATTATTTTTTCAATTTATTAAAAATAGTAGATTTTGACCTAATCTTGTCGGATCCATTAATTTACCTATGGTAATAATTGTTTCAATTATTTAAATGATTATCTAATTAGGATGACTTTTGCTAAATAAATGCAAATAAGCTCATATTACAAGATATGACAAATCTTGAAGTTTTCTCTAATATTTAATAATATTTATTAATTTACATTAATCATAATGCACTAATACTAAATAGTTTATTGAATGCTGAGTTTAATGAAGATTTCTGATAAAATAAAATCTATTTAGGATTATTAATTGAAGAATGCTCTATCCCCCTATTTCAATCAAAGTTTTAACTCTTCTTATAGCTGTATTTTTATATTTATATATTTTTTTGTAATTTTAACATAATATCTTCAGATTACATAAGAAATTAATTTTATAATATTTATTTTGAAAGCATCCTTTTTAAGCGATTTATTAAAAATCATTGAACATTTCTTAAAGTTTTCTTGTTTGGCTAAGAATTAAATGAATTTTATTTAAGTTAAGATTTTATCTTTTCGAACAGGATGTAATCAACTGTTTTAAGGTATAAAAGAGTTTCTTTTTATTTTAGAACTTTTAACTTTCTAAAAATATTAAGCAATAGAAGGTAACAATTTGTGAATATCTTTAAATTTGATTTAGTTTTAATAGAAAGGCAATCTAATTTGTATGTTAATAAGAAATTAAAAATCAATGGTTATCAAATGTTAGGCCAGAAAAATTAGAAAAATAACTTTTTCATTGATCTAAATCTATGTCACATTCCCATTCAATTAAACTCAAAATTTTCTAGCAATTATAACTTCTGGTTCCTATAAAAACAGTATCACCGCCAGTTATTCAATATATTTCCATCTTGTATATTTTCTAAATTATCCATAATATGATTAGACTTGTAATTTTTTAATTTACCTGCAGATAATTTGTAAATAATATCCATTATCAGAAATATTTTATTGATCGCACACTCTTAAAAGATAAATTTTAAGGAATGATCATATCAAATTTAAGGTAATCATTTATAAATTATGTATTAATCTCTTTGATTTAATTAAGTTTCATTAAATTTACTATTCTCAACTGTTTACAAGAACTTCCTATATAAATTATTATTAATTATAAGTACTTTAGCTAATCGACCTATTAAAGATTTAAGAGGGAAGAAGTAAAAAGTTAATTATAATTTATGAAACATTAATGTAATTTAAATGATCATAATTATAAATTCAGATCATTAGTTAATTGAATCAAATCTGCATATATATTTTTTTTGTTCTTAGCTATTAAAATCTAAAAAGATGTCTTTATTCTAAAATGTGTGAAAAAACTTAAATAAGAAAAATCTCTTACTTTTAATTTAAAGTTTACATTTGCAATATAATAGAATACATGTTCTATAATAGTATGATAAGTTTAACATTTATTTTGTCTTTATTTTAGAAATTGCTCTTTAAGATGCAAAAGAAAAAAGTCTTTTAGATGAATATCATTTTTATTATTGGAATGTACA